AGGATGAAGAAAAGCATCCTGAGTGTTTAGAGGGCCATGGATCAAAGAATCCATCCTTGTACAGAATTCAGTTTTTGTATTGTCAGGGCAGGTTCTGCAGGGAGCCAAAAGTGACTTTTGAGAATAATTTGGCACAGAGCAGATGAATCTGTAGGATTCCTGCCCCCCTCACTGCTTAGAAACAATGAGTGTCCTAAAACCCTCAAAATCTGAGAAGAATGAGGGTTTTTTTGCAAGGTTTTCAACTTGTCCTCCCTTATGAGAAATTAATTTTGAGGGAAGTATGCACACTTGAAAACTGATGCTTAAATTGCAGTAATGGAGTGGTTCTCCATCAGCCTCCAGAAATGCACTGGTAATGTAGAAAAATGGATATAAATATCAAAGAGACAATGAATGAAGAGCTCTGCTGACACACACACACAAATCTTGCTGTTCACATAATAAAACAACTAAAATTTGGTGCCTCTTCTTCCATGATCAAAGAGTCAAAACTTTGGGGTCAAACCTTCCAGAGGATCCTTGTGATCCTGGCTGACCCTCATTTCTACAGCTCTGAAGATCCAAACCTTTTCTATTCAGGCACTTAAATGCAAATTTTACCAAAATCTAAGTGCATTTAGGCACTTAATTTCAAATTTACCAAAACCTAAGTGCATTTAGGCACTTAAATACAAATTTTACCAAAATCTAAGTGCATTTAGGCACTTAAATGCAAATTTACCAAAATCTAAGAGCATTTAGGCACTTAAATGCAGATTTACCAAAATGTAAGAGCATTTAGGCACTTAAATACACATTTTACCAAATCTAAGTGCATTTAGGCACTTTAATGCAAATTTACCAAAATCTAAGTGCATTTAGGCATTTAAAGGCAAATTTACCAAAATCTAAGAGCATTTAGGCACTTTAATGCAGATTTACCAAAATCTAAGTGCATTTAGGCACTTAAACGCAAATTTACCAAAATCTGAGAGCATTTAGGCACTTTAATGCAGATTTACCAAAATCTAAGTGCATTTAGGCGCTTAAATGCAAATTTTACCAAAATCTAAGTGCATTTAGGCACTTAATTTCAAATTTACCAGAATTTCTGTGCACAGGCAAAGGAAAAAGAGCTTTTTTTTTGTGTGAGCAATCTGCCAGTTTTTGTCTGAAGACTCTGTTTTGCAACATCAGAGGAAATTCACTCTCATTGATAAGCTGTCAGCTGGTAAACCAGCTCACCACCAAAAAACTCCAAGAGTGAGAGGGAAATCCCCAGGGTAAAGCAGAGCTGAAGCAAATGCCAATTATGAAGGAGCCTCCTCAGGCCTGCAGCCAATCAGCTCAGCAGAACACTGGAAAGGAAACTTGAATTTAAAAATACATGATCTGGTTTGCAACACTCACTCAAGCCAAGGGGCAACCACATTTTATTTAGAAGTGCACACAAATCTATTGAAATAGAAGCAGAGGGTATTTTTCTCAAGGCTAGGCAAGATTTTAGCCCCCATAACTCCCTCAAGTCACAGTTCCTACCTGTCAGCACAATTTTAGTAGCAGTTCTTAGGAAAAACACTGGAAAAAAAAAGGGTTTAAGTGGAATTTAGGTACCAAAGCTGGCTCTGCTTGTTTGGGGACTTGCCTCTGCAGAAATACTCTGGGAGAGGAAAGGGAAAAGCAGGAACCTGACAACTGCAACATTTCTCAGGCAAATTTCAGTGATAAACTGAATTTTTTGTGCTTTGTAGGACTATATAAACTACAGCAATGTCAGTGACCAAAATGCCTCTAAAAAACCAGCTCCACCCTGGTTTTTATCTCCTATCAGCCACAATTTAGGTGCCCAAGCTGGCTGTGCTTAGTTGGGGATTTTCCTCCGCAGAAATACTCTGGGAGAGGAAAGGGAATAGGAGGTACCTGACAACTGCAACATTTCTCAGGCAAATTTCAGTGATAAACTGAATTTTTTGTGCTTTGTGGGACTATATAAACTACAGCAATGTCAATGACCAAAATGTCTCCAAAAAACCCAGATCCACCCTAGTTTTTATCTCCTATCAGCCACAATTTAGGTACCAAAGCTGGCTCTGCTTGTTTGGGGACTTGCCTCTGCAGAAATACTCTGGGAGAGGAAAGGGAAAAGCAGGAACCTGACAACTGCAACATTTCTCAGGCAAATTTCAGTGATAAACTGAATTTTTTGTGCCTTGTGGGTTTATATAAACTACAGCAAGGTCAGTGACCAAAATGTCTCCAAATGTCTCCAAAAAAACCAGATCCACCCTGGTTTTTACCTGCTATCAGTCACAATTTAGGTACCTAAGTTGGCTGTGCTTGTTTGGGGATTTGCCTCTGACAGTGAACCTGCAGAAATTCTCTGGGAGAGGAAAGGGAAAAGCAGGAACCTGACAACTGCAACATTTCTCAGGCAAATTTCAGTGATAAACTGAATTTTTTGTGCCTTGTGGGATTATATAAACCACAGCAATGTCAGTGACCAAAATGCCTCTAAAAAAAACCAGCTCCACCCTGGTTTTTACCTGCTATCAGCCACAATTTAGGTACCAAAGCTGGCTGTGCTTGTTTGGGGATTTGTCTCTGCAGAAATTCTCTGGGAGAGGAAAGGGAAAAGGAGGAACCTGACAACTGCAACATTTCTCAGGCAAACTTCAGTGATAAACTGAATTTTTTGTGCCTTGTGGGACTATATAAAGGACAGCAATGTCAGTGACCAAAATGCCTCTAAAAAACCAGCTCCACCCTGGTTTTTATCTGCTATCAGTCACTGCTTGAGGTATCTCAGAATTTTGCCTTTCAGATGAGGGAATGGAATCACAACATGTGCAGTCCACAAGGCCTTCCTAGTGGCAAGCCATGACATGAAGAATTCCTCCTCTAGAGGAAAATAAATGACATTTTATCCTGTGTATTCCATAAACCCAATGATCCTCTCAGAGGCTCTGCCTTTTCCATCAGGCTGTAACAAGACTGGAAAAATGAGATGTTCTGAGCCTAAGGACAGGCTCTCTTCAATTGTTCTGTTTCCTGTTAACAGGCTCCATGAAGACAAATTTAAAATTACCAGAAAACAGCTGAGCATGGACATTAAATATTGTCAGACACATTTACTCTGATCCATGCTGCAAATGTTCAGCAGTGACTGGATTATCAACTTAGAACCAAGAAAATAAAATAAATATTGAAAGCATTTTCCTCTGAGAGGCAGAATAATGTTCCTGTTGTAAGGTGGGTGGGCTTGCTGTCCTGATAAATACTGGGAAAATAAATAATTAAACCAAACTAAAATAGTTTAAAATTACAGGATTAAAGCAGGCAGGTACTGGCTAAAGTGACCAAGCTGGATTTGAGCAATTTTCAGGCATTTGAGCAATTTTCCAAGTTCTAGGAAGTACTCTGTGGATTGTTGTGCACAACATTTAAAAGAAATAAATAAACAAACAAATAAAATTAGACTTTTAGTTTGTATTCCTCTTTTTCCCAGAGCCATGTGAAACAGAAGTGCTGTAGTGCAGTCTTCATTAGGAATACTGCAAACTAAGCCAGAAAAGTTTCCTCATTCAAGCAAAAATAAATTACACAGCCCTCAAATGAACAGAAACCAAAGTAAAAGAAGGTAAATAAATATTTCTGTGTGAAGTTGAAATTTTAATTTTGTTTTCTACTGAACTTTTCAACTGTGCCTGAGGTAACCCAGCTGAATTGCTAAAGCCCAGCAGAACAGCTCAGTCCTGTGCCACAGCTTCCCTGGAGGAGCAGGTTGGCCCAGCTCAGGTAGAATTTGCTTAAAAATTCACCTTCTGTGCTGTCACCCTGCAAGGGACTGGAAGTTCCAGTGTCACTTAATGGCACTGTCCAGCCAGGGTGTCACCATTCCCATAAAGCACTGGAGTCATCTCAGCTCATTATTCAGGGTTTCAAGAACATGAAGTTCTCAGAACATTAGGAAAATATTAAAAAAATAAATTTGTACATCTGTCTTGCAAGGGAAGCTGTGGAATTATTGGTCCTCTGGAAGTTTGGTCAAGCTGTTTTACAAAATCTCAGATTTTTCTACATATTCTGATGTTGTAGTGCTGACACTGTCCCCCCTCCAATTTCTGAAATTCAAAACTTCTGCTGATGGAAAGGAACTGAGAGTTCAGAAGGACAATTTTGAGATTTTTGGGGTATAATCCTAGAGCTAAATGGAAATTCACACAAAAATCTCATGGATATAATCTGTATGTGTAATGTATGGGTTATTTTTTAAAACTGCTTTATCCTACCTTCATGTCCTTGACAGAGAAAGGAAAAATTATCTTTTCCTTTCTAAAATATTATCAGTAACACACCCCACTTACACAACCTGCTCTTGGAGCAAATGAAAATAAATCTCCACGAAGCAGAGACACAAATTTCCAAAAAAACACCAAAAAAATTCACAGTGAGAGCTGAGGGCTGCAATTTTTCATCTCAGAACTGCGCAGAACACCTCTGTCCTTTCCACCCCACAACCTGCAGCAGCACCAGAGCACGAAGTTCTCAGACAGCACTGATGGCCTGAGTACAAAAAGCAGCTCTGAAGTCCAAGATTTCCTCCCTCTCTAATGAAAAGAATTCACCAGCAGCCTTTCAGCTGAGCTGTACCTGTTTTTCTGGGTCACTCCTGCTCACATATGCACAGCTCAGGCAGCTTTCATTGGGAAGCACATGCAAATGCATAAAATTAAAATGAAATTTCACACAACACTTGCAAAATGAATTGCTGCTGCTGCCTTTCACTTTGTGCCCTGCTGGTTCCAGCTGGCAGCTCCCAGGGAACAGGGGAAGTCGTGGATCTCCATCCTTGGGAGACACTCAGAGCTGGGCTGGGCAAAGTCCTGAGCTCCAAATCCTGGATGTGGCTGGAGCAGGACAGGCCCTGTGGTCCCTGGGCACAGAACTCCCCCAGAAACCATCCCAAAAGCAAAGCTGGCTCAGGATTTCCTGAAATAAATAAATAAAATTATTCCCACCTGTTGCTCCTCCTCCTGACGAATCCTCTCCTCTTCTTTCCTCCTCTCCTCCTCTCTTTTGGACTCGAGTTTTCTCCTTTCTTCTCTCTCTGCTTCTTCAGCCTGAAATAAACATGATGCAAGCCAAACCTTACTCATTTTGAATCTACATTTTAAACTTTCACATGATGATACCATGATCATACACATTTTAGTTAGATCCATGCTGCAAATGTTCAGCAGTGACTGGATTATCAACTTAGAACCAAGAAAAAAAATTAAATATTGAAAGCATTTTTCTCTGAGAGGCAGAATAATGTTCCTGTTGTAAGGTGGGTGGGCTTGCTGTCCTGATAAATACTGGGAAAACAAATAATTAAACCAAACTAAAATAGTTTAAAATTACAGGATTAAAGCAGGCAGGTACTGGCTAAAGTGTCCAAGCTGGATTTGAGCAATTTTCAGGCATTTGAGCAATTTTCCAAGTTCTAGGAAGTACTCTGTGGATTGTTGTGCACAACATTTAAAATAAATAAATAAACAAACACATAAAATTAGACTTTTAATTTGTATTCCTCTTTTTCCCTGAATCATGTGAAATAGAAGTGCTGTAGTGCAGTCTTTATTAGGAATACTGCAAACTAAGCCAGAAACTAGTAAGAGTTTCCTCATTCAAGCAAAAATAAATTACACAGCCCTCAAGTGAACAGAAATCAAAGTAAAAGAAGGTAAATAAATATTTCAAGAAAGAGGGGGTTTCTTCCCACCTTTTAGATGCAGAAAGAAACATCAAAAATAATAAAAAGAATAATAAAAAGCCACTATCATTTCACTTCCCCTTCCTTCAGCACACTCAACATTGTGGTAAATTTAGAAATTACTCTTCTCACTTATCTAATTTATTTTTGAATGTGTTTATGAGCTAAATACAACAGTGATGTTGAGCAATTTTGTATCATGGAATTCCAGTTCTCCTCACTTGAAGTTTAGTTAGGAAGGACCTTAAAGAAGGAAGGGAAAAAAAAGGATTTGGAACACACAATGTAAAAAAAGTGCATTTAAATGTATAATTTACCTGAGCAGAATCTCTTACTGAAAAAGCTGCAATGGTCTCTTGAAATAATTTTATTTTTGTTAAGACAAAGAAATTGTTGCAAAATGAGGGAAAAATAAAGACAGTGTTGTCTTACTGTGTTTAGATTTTTTAAAGATTTTTTTTCAGGCTCCTCAGGGTATGAAAATATATTAATACAATAAAATATAAATGTTGTATTATTACATTATTTTATTAATATAATGAAATATAATTATTGAAAATATGTTAATAAAATAAAAATATTAATATATTAATATTTTATTTGAAAATATATTAAAAGGACAAGCAGAAAATATTCCAGTGGAGGATTTGGCCTTGAGAGTTTCAGAGAAAAAGCCCCATCCAAGGAATTTATCTGTCTACATGGGAAAATAAAAATCAGCATGTTTTAAAATGAAACAGGAGATTCCTTGCTCCACCAACTGATGTTCATCCAACTTCATTTAACTTTGTTCACATTTTCCACCAAAAAAAAAGGGAAAAATTAAATTTAATGAGTATGGAAAGTAATAAAATGATGAAAGCACTCAGTGAGAAAAGGTTCATAATGGAAGTATATATATAACCAGTAATTAAGTTTATTACCAACTGCTTCATCTAATAAACTGGATTTAAACCTCAGGTGACATTAAAATTCCCAACTTGGGATTTCACAAGCTTTAAAAATGTTCATACAGAACAATACAGAGTTTGAAAAAAATTTATATATAAAAAAATAGAACAATTCCAAGGAAAATGCACAAACTGCTGCCTTCAGAAGGCTGAAATGCCTCTTGCTTCCCTGGAATTAACACCACAAAGCTTTTTATCTCCCTCAGTCTAAAAAAATAATAAATATGACTAAACACAGACCAAACCAAAGCACATTTCTGCCCTCTGAGAGCGCCTGAAGCACTCCTCACACCTGCCCAGGGTGTTGCACCAGCTCCGTGGGGACTGGAATGTATTTTTTATTTTTAAGGGGAGACAGGGGTGGCATTAAGCTGGAAAGCAGTGAAAACACCCAAAAAAGAGCATTCAAGAGTTTAACTCCTCTCCTCCCCACGAGCCTGAATGGAAAGAAAATGAGACAAGAGTTTTCCACAGCCCTGTTGGGCCAGCAAAAGCTGAATTGACATTTTTAAGATAAAAGAAGCATTTAGTGATGATGGCACTGCTGTGGTTTTCCGTGTCATTCCCAGCTCTCTGCTGGAGACGTGGCAGGAAATCCTCACCTCTCTCTGTGCTCTCCTGGCTTGTTTCTCTTCTAATTTCCTCTGCTTCTTTGCTCCAATTTTCCCAGACAGCTGAAATTCTGGCACCTCCTCAGCATCCTCTTCCTCTGCAACGTCGCAGAAATGACAAATTTGAAATCAGCTGGCAAAAGTCTCTCAGAGAAAGTTCAGTGCTGCTTAGGAAAGGGGCAGGAGATGAAAAGGAGACACACACACACTTCAGACAAGAGTTTTTAGATGGAAAAAAGGGGAAAAAAAATCACAAGAGACTGCCAAAGCCACAGAGCAGAACAAGGCAAACACACACTCAAGTGAAGGCAGAAATAAAAATTTCCCTGATCCTTTGAAGGGAGGCTTTCCATAAATATTTCTTGCTTTCCAAATTAAAAAAGATTTTTCTCTGATACAGGAATTGTACCAAAATTCCCTTGATCCTTTGAAAGGGAGGCTTTTCATAAATATTTCTTGCTTTCCACAATTAAAAAGAGAGATTTTTCTCTGATACAGAAATTGTGCTAATGGTTGTCATTGTTTACCTGCTCAACACTGGCCTGCAGAGACTTCCCAGTTATCCCCAGGCTTTGCACAACAGATATTCACTGAAAAAATGGGATTCAGAGGCACCCCACTCATACACTGGTTCTGACAGAAAAAACCTTTTAGGGATGAGGGGAAAAAATGTCCTTGAAATGCAAATCTTGGGTCTGCCTGCAAGAAAATGACATGTAAATATTTGCCCGTTGTATGACAAATGGTTGTTTACAGAGGTGATTCTGAAATGGTGAAATATGAAAGGGTTTTATGCTCAAAGGGTGTGCAAATGAGGATTTCTGCTCTCTCAAAGGCTGAGGAAGAAGTTTTAAATGCAGCCATTTCCTCCCTGCTCAAAGCTGAGGAATATTTTGGCCACTTTTATTTGCTGCTCTAAATCAGTGCTGGGGACTGAGCTCAACACTCCCAGAGAAATCCTCAGCTTACTGCAGGCTCAAAATGAAAACTCTCACATATATCTTATTTTTGGGTAAAATAATTGGTGCTTTGAGCATCCCCAGTGCTGCTCTGCTGGATGCTGAGTTCAGATCCAAACTGGAGGAGATTTGTGCCAGGATGTTTTCTGTTTTCTCTCCAGAGCACCTGGTCCCTTTTTTGGGAACCCAAAAAGCTGCTGTGAAAGGATTTGGATGAATGACACTCCCACTTCTTTTTTATGAAGAATTAGGTTGGAAACATTCATGTTTTACTAATTCCAAGACACAGAATGGGGCTATAGTTAAGCTACCAAGACATCATGAGTGCTCGAGTTTGTGAAATGAAACATGAGAAAGAAAAGTTTGTGAGTGCAACATAAATGAAATTTTAAGTTCCTCTCTTCTTTTGCATGGCAAGGTTTGGGGATCAGAATCTCACATTTTTCTTTGGAAGTATTAATCACTAAAAGTTTTTAAAATTATAATAATTGGGCATTTTTAAAAGCTTTTTATTGCTTTGTGTGGTATCTGAGCTCAGCACACAAATCCTGCAGCTAAAAAAATCATGTATGAATGTTTTCTGCTGCTTTTTTGGGAAAAATAATATAAAAATAATGCTTCACCCCCACTGAGTGATGGATCTTGTGCATAAGTTCAAGAAGAAAGTGTTTGTGCTGAAATCTCTTAAATATCCCTCCTTAAATATCCCTTCCTGCACCAGGGATACTCAGACCTGCCACAGTTGCTTCTATAATTTGAATGATCCTTAAAATAACTTTATTTGTATTTTAAATACAGCATCGAGGGGAGCTCCAGTCACAATGGGTGAGCACACCCAGCACTAGCAGTTATTACTCCAAAATTAACAGCTCAGCTCTGGTAGAATTGTTTAGAAAATGACTTCCTGCAAACATCACAAGTATAAAACAGCATCTATGACACTCTTCTATGGTTAATAAGACTAAGGTTAAACTACCAAGACATCATGAGAAATAAATATATCTGAGAGCTGTGTGGGTGGCTCTCAAATAACAGCAATTTTCAGGAGATGGAATTAATATGAGCCTGGCTGCTGAGCTGGGCTTCAGGGAATTATTGGAGTCTGAGATGATCAAAAGGGTTCCCCCTTCCTGCACCAGGGATACTCAGACCTGACACAGTTGGTTCTGTAATTTAAATAACTTTATTTCTAGTTTGAATACAGCATCGAGGGGAGCTCCAGTCACAATGGGTGAGCACACCCAGCACTAGCAGTTATTACTCCAAAATTAACAGCTCAACTCTGGTAGAATTGTTTAGAAAATGACTTCCTGCAAACATCACAAGTATAAAACAGCATCTATGACACTCCTCTATGGTTAATAAGACTAAGGTTAAACTACCAAGACATCATGAGAAATAAATATATCTGAGAGCTGTGTGGGTGGCTCTCAAATAACAGCAATTTTCAGGAGATGGAATTAATATGAGCCTGGCTGCTGAGCTGGGCTTCAGGGAATTATTGGAGTCTGAGATGATCAAAAGGGTTCCCCCTTCCTGCACCAGGGATACTCAGATGCTTCTGTAATTTTAATGACGCTTAAAATAATTTTATTTCTATTTTAAATGCAGCATTGAGGGAAGCACTAGCAGTTATTACTCCAAAATTAACAGCTCAGCTCTGGTATTATTGCTAGAAAATGATTTCTTACAAACACCACAAGTATAAAACAGCATCTATGACACTGTTCTATGGTTAAACTACCAAGACATCATGAGAAATAAATGTACCTGAGAGCTGTGTGGGTGGCTCAAATACCAGCAGTTTTCAGGAGATGGAATTAATATGAGCCTGGGTGCTGAGCTGGGCTTCAGGGAATTATTGGAGTCTGAGAGGATCAAAAGGGTTCCCCCTTCCTGCACCAGGGATACTCAGACCTGACACAGTTGGTTCTATAATTTTAATGATGCTTAAAATAACTTTATTTCTGTTTTAAGTACAGCATTGAGGGGAGCACACCCAGCACTAGTTATTACTCCAAAATTAACAGCTCTGGTATTATAGTTTAGAAAATAATTTCTTGCAAACACCACAAATACAAAACACCATCTATGACAACTGTTGCACCTGAGGCTTCTCAGATTTCATCTATATTAAGATTAATTGAACCAGAAACCTAAGGAAGGCTTGCTTTAAAGCCATTTTTCCAGTCCTGGATCAAACACACCTTTGTTATTCCTTCATTTTGAAGCATCTGATGTGTCCCTTTAGGCACCACTTCCCCCAAGCTTCCTGCAGTGTGGAGTTCCACCCTCAAAAGGCAGAGATGGGGACGCAGCCACAGCCATGACTCAGCAGAGCTGCAAAGGTCACCAGGGCACCAAACCTGGCTGCAATTAAAAATTACTGAATAAACCTGAAGGTGCTGACAGCAACATAAACACACAGCCAGAGCTGTGACAACAAATTCGTTTGTTGCCACAGCTCCACCAAAAGCAGGGAGGGTGCTGCACACAGCCAGCAATTCTTAATTTCATTTAATCAAGCAGGGATTGATTCAGAAGCTTTTAACAATCATTTTTCACACACTTGTGGCTGTGACAGCACTGGGAGACTCTGTGGGGAGTGAGTCCAGAGAAATTTGGCCTCCATCTGTCCCTGAGCTTGGGAGGGATGCAGGAGGGTTCGTGAAAAGCAGTTTAGCACCCCCCAAGAGCTGGGCTTGGGCAGCCAGTGGGAAACCCCACACTCTGACAGAAAATTTCTTTTAATTTTAAGATTGAAAGAAAGCAGGTTTAAATGGAATATCGGGAATGCATTTTTCCTCTCTGAAATTTCCCAGAGCAGCTGTGGCTGTCCCAGGACCCCTGGCAGTGCCCAAGGCCAGGCTGGACAGGGCTTGGAGCCACCTGGGATCATGGAAGGTGTCCCTGCCATGGCAGGGGTGGCACTGGGTGAGCTTTAACATGAATCCAACCCAAACCTTTCTGTGATTTCAGCAGGGTCAGGAGTTCCCATGCAGAGGCAGAAAGCAGAACCAGTGTGACAAACTCTGCTTTACACAAATGTGGGGTTCTCTGCTGCCCAGCTGAGAGGTGGATTCAGGAAAATTTTGCTTTTCATTGATATTTTGAACATTCTGAGAGGCAGCACAACAGGGAAGTTATCACTCACACAGGTGTCTGAATTGCTGGAAATTTACAGATTTCTTTTTAAAAATGCTTCCCAGTACTTTTAGAAAATGTGCTGGAGTGCTGATGTTCTCTACCAGGACAGAAATTCAGCAGAATTCTGCAGTGTGTACGGAACAGACAAAACCTTCCAAAACAAACAATCAGCATTGCGTATTTCAGTTATCCCAGAATGGTTTGGATTGGAAAGGATCTTAAGGATCTTGTTCCAAAACCCCACTGCCACTCCCACCTTCCACAAGCCCCATCCAACCTGGTCTAGCTGTCCTTGTCTTGCTTCCTTTTAAATTTTGGGTGAAGCAAATGGATGCCCATCCATAAAAAGAAAAGAAAGTTATACAGGTGAAACTCCCAGAAAGTCCTTTGGGCACAGCTCCCTTATTTACTATTTATGCAGCACCTAACGAAAGGAGTAAGGGAAAGGTGAGGGGAGAAAGATGCCAGGCAAAAGCAGAAAATGTGATTAACAGCAGGTAATTAATTAATACCCAGCAGATGTGTGACAGCAGCCACTGGAAAGGTGTGGCCATTCCCCAGTAACACAACCCTGTGGTGGGATTAATTACAGCCTAATAACTACCCTTAATTTTTCTGTTTTTTTTAACTTTTAATTTAGAAACCGAAGGAGAAACCGGTTTATTAATCAGAAGCCACAACAGCAGGCAACATTAGGGCAGGAAAGTGCAGCAGACACAAAGAGCAGAGCTCTGGAGCAGAATGTGAAGTTTATTCTCAGTTAGAATTTGGCAGAAGTGAGAAACCACAAACCCCCCCTGCCCAGGCTGTGCCTGAGCAGGACCAGACACTCACTGGGGGCAAAACTGACTTTTGATTCACTGGTTGGGATATTAGTCAAAGTTCATCTGTACTAGAAAGGTTTTCCCACTGATTAAGCATTAAAATAATTTCAAGTAACCAATTAACACAGCTCCGTTTCACGAGAACAGCGTGGGACCACATCACTGCTT